GCTCAGTTTGCAAACAGAGTGAAATCTGCCATTGCTGATCAGGGAGGACTGCTGGACCTGGCGTGGTGAGAACAACAAACACACACAGAAACATGCAGAGGCTTTTTAGGTCGGGTACAATCACTTCTATCTGAACCACTTCTCTTGCCCGCTTCCATCACTGCAACACCTGTTGGTTTGACCTGATAACTGCTCTCATATCTGGCAAACCGAGGGGCGTCCAAAACGGCCGTGTGGGGGTGCCTTAAAACCGTCTACCTTCTCTGGTCCAAACAAATCCAGATCATTCAGGACCAGAATCTAAAGTTAGAAGGAGGACATACTGGCTGCTGCATTTTTGTCAGAGAAGCCAGCACTTCAACATAGCATGTTTCCTTAATGTCTGATCATATAGTAAGATCACTTTATCATTTCACTCTCTCTCCAAACAAATCAGGACTTTTGTTTTTTGTGTTTCAGGGATGGAGGTCTGAAGAGAGGTAAGGTGAAGGACTCGTTCAAAGAGGAGCAGCAGAAGATGTACAGCAGCATCATCGTGGGACAGAGCGGAGCCCAGAGAGTGTGTGAGGAGGTCACAGAGGAGCCGTGACACACACACACACACACACACACTGTGTGGACTTTTGTGTGTCGGACTCTTTTTTTACTCTCAAAGTCTTACAGCAGCTCGGTCTCGAATCTGTCTTCATCTGAAGTCCTGTGTGTGTAGGACTGTGCTCCCGCCAGCAGGGGGCAGCATAAGACAACACAAGGATGGCGTTCTTCCTCCTGGCTATCAGTGAAACTTGTGACCTGCTGGATTCGTTCAACGTTTTCACCGCTCACAGAAACCAAAAGCTCTTATTTTCTTATCGCCTCAGATGTTTTTAATGTTTGTATTTTTTAAATATTCGTCTTTGACACCAAAACAAATATATCTGATCGTAAAAACACAGACAGCGTGTCCTCCTGGTGTCAGCTGTGGTTATTTCTGACAAATCCGAGATCACGAGATGAAAGTCGTTATTTCAGAAGCGGTCTGTATGAAAATGAAAAGTTGTGAAGATGAGGTCACTTTATTTGAACCCGTAGGTCGATTTGGTTCACAGTGAGCGAGTCGTTCTCCTACACACAAACGACTGCACGGGACAGAAACACGATGAAGTGACAACGAGAAACGCCCGTCAGTAAAAAAACCCCCAAAAAACAGAGAAGTAACCCATCGAAAGAATAAGACCAATGGGAAAAAAAGAGGACGCAGAACTCTCCCTGCCGGTCGCAGCGTGCGCCCTGTGACATCGAGCTGCTTTAAGACAGTTTGATGAGGTCTCTAAATATTTCAGGAAAAAAGGAAAGTTCCGCACGCTGTTCTGTTCAGATCCCAATGAGCGATAACTTCAGCACGTCAGAAGTTTCAGGACCCTGAAGAGAAAGTGGAGAGAGAGCGACCCTGACCCGGAGGGAGGACAGGGTCTCTTTGAGGCTCACGCAGGAGGCCGGCTGCTCTTCTGGTTCATCCTCAGAATAATCATTTAAATCACAGCTTCATTTAAACCGATTTAAGAATTAAGTATCAGAAATTAACGACATTTTATGGTACTCCGTCGTGGTTTTATACATTTATATATTTTTACTTTGTTTTTCAGTGTGTTTCAGGTCGATGATTTAACGGCGTGCAGATGTTGTAAAATGTACGAGTCATCGTGATTAGAGTGGCGCCGGAGAGCCTGGTGGTTATGACACGCGCCCCGTGTACAGCGGCTGAAGTCCTCGTCACAGCAGCCGGGGGTTCAAATCCGTTCTGTTCGATCTAATGAAGGAAAAAAAGCCCAAAAAACAACTTTAGAAAAAAAAGGTCAAATCAAACTGAAGACGGAGAAATAATAACGTTTTTAAAATCAAAGAGCTGCAGATTGCAGCAACACGAGCATTAGTGCAACACATCAAAGGTGATAAAAACCTGATCCACCGTGATCACTGAGGCGCCATGAGGTCAGCGTGGTGAGGTCGACATGGTGAGGTCAGCGTGGTGAGGTCAGCGTGGTGAGGTCGACATGGTGAGGTCAGCGTGGTGAGGTCGACATGGTGAGGTCGGCGTGGTGAGGTCAGCATGGTGAGGTCAGCGTGGTGAGGTCGACATGGTGAGGTCAGCGTGGTGAGGTCGACATGGTGAGGTCAGCGTGGTGAGGTCAGCATGGTGAGGTCAGCGTGGTGAGGTCAGCGTGGTGAGGTCAGCATGGTGAGGTCGACATGGTGAGGTCAGCGTGGTGAGGTCGACATGGTGAGGTCAGCGTGGTGAGGTCAGCGTGGTGAGGTCAGCATGGTGAGGTCAGCGTGCTGTTGGTCAGCGTGGTGAGGTCGGCGTGGTGAGGTCGGCGTGATGAGGTCAGTGTGGTGAGGTCAGCGTGATGAGGCCGGCGTGATGAGGCCGGCGTGATGAGGTCAGTGTGGTGAGGTCAGCGTGGAGAGGTCGGCGTGCTGTTGGTTGGCGTGGAGAAGTTGGTGGGTGTGATGAGGCGAGCGTGGTGAGGTCAGCGTGCTGTTGGTCAGTGTGGTGAGGTCAGCGTGCTGTTGGTCAGCGTGGTGAGGTCGGCGTGATGAGGTCACCATGTGTCCTCAGCCCTCCTCTCCCTTGGAGCGATGATGGAGGAGGAGGAGCCTCAGAGGAATCGTGAGGAGGCAGACATGTTTACCGTGACGGAGCTTTAATAAAGAAAGCAGCGAGTGTGAAATAACACAGAGTTTGTCTTCCACCACGCCCCCCCTCCCCACCCTCACTGCGGCCTCGTCTTCCTCCCATCACAGACGCTCACACACAAATGTTTGTTCTCCCCTAACAAGATTGTGAATTATTAATCGGATCTGAAGCCGCTCCTCTAACCCGATTGTGGAGGTGGGATTGTTGGCGAGCGATGCTGCAGCACGCCATTCACTGTGATGTATGTGTCTGCACATCTTTAGATCCAATTTAATGTGATTCAGATAGATTTCAGAGGGACATCATAAAAGGCATTGCTGTGACCCGCCTGTACACTCCATACGACCCCCCCCCGTCCCCACGCCGCCCTCCCTCTCCCCCCTCCATCGAACGTCCCGATATGTTGATTCAATTTGCTCGATTCGACTCTTACCCCGCGCTGATCTATACAAATGCAATGCAGGTACACTAAGTAAATATGAATACATTTCCAAATTGAATCGCGGTGAATGTAGTGCACGGAGGACATCATTTAGAGGCCGCTGTGCTGGGAAGAGACCACTCACGGGCTAAATGACTGAAGCCCCCTCTCAGACGCACCATTACTGCAGCTAATGCCTTTAAAGACATCGTTCTGCCATCTATCCTGCACTCTGCAGTAATGTATGGAGGCTGGGGAGGGACAATACAGAGAGAGGGGGGAGAGAGAGGGAGAGAGAGAGAGCGAGGGAGAGAGAGGGAGAGAGAGAGAGAGAGCGAGAGAGAGGGATCGATACAAACCTCCCCGTCCTCATTCAGACACATTCCTTTAAATCCATACGTTGGCCTGCAGCTCGTCCTACATGGACTTCATGTATTCATATAAATGTTGACGCTTCTTGTTTATGCTGTTTTAAACTTCTTCTCTGAAGGATCATTTGTCTCGTCAGATCGGGTTGACACGAAACCAGAATTTCCGCTGCCCAGTTCTGATCCCTGTTGGATACCAGGTGTAATTCCCTCCAAGCACAGCAGACACAAGTGGCTTTCTTGCTACAGGTTTATTTGAAGCTTTCCTCAAATCCTCCATGAAAACTAAAGAGTATAAAACATGAAAATTATTTAACAATATGAGCAAACATAAATAATAACATGCACAGCATGTGATGTAATATCAATTAACCAAAAGTAAAATACAAAAGAAATTAATTAAATTACCTCATTGGCTACATGCTAATAAGAGAGAATTAAAGTTGAACTAAATGAGAGCCAGAGTCCATGCTTGCTGTACCATTGTAAATCTAATTCTAACGAGAGCAGTCCAACGTGACCTTAAAGGTAACTTCAAAATAAAATGTCAGTTGTATTTAATAAAATGATTAACTTAAATGCATAAATTATTATTATTATTATTATTATTATTATTATTATTATTATTATTATTAATAATAAATATTGTACCAAAACTAAACTTAAATACAACCTAATTCTACCTGAAAAAGGTAAACAATAATTGCAACAGTTACACCCCGGCTGCAAAATCAGAAGTCCCAGTCACAAAGTTTTGATCATTTCTTCTTTTAAGCTTTAAAATTGTATTATCATATAATTAAAAATATTTGTTCTAAGCATGTGAGCTCTGTTTGATTTAAAATCATATCTTTAATTATTTATACAAAGAAAACTTTAAAGAAATTAAATCTCTGCACGAGAAAATCAAGATGAAAACATGCAGCCGCTTCTGTGTGTGCGTCTGTGTGTGTGTGTGTGTGTGTGTGTGTGTGTGTGTGTGTGTGTGTGTGTGTGTGTGTGTGTGTGTGTGTGTGTGTGTGTGTGTGTGTGTGTGTGTGTATGTGTGTGTGTGTGTGTGTGTGTGCGTCCTCCTCCAGAGTCTCCGAGTGGTTCTGACCGTTAGGGGGAAATGTGAGACCGGGCCTTTTTTCCCAGCACGCCTCTGATTTGCATACACTAATGAAACGAGCTATAATTGGTCAGAATTGATTTTTTTTCTCTGCGCTTTGATTGAGCTACAATTGAGTCTGAAGTTCTTCAAGTGGAGATCTGATTGATTTGAGGTTGAATTCCAGTTTATTTAGTTTAGAAAATAATTATGTACTCATACAGTGATTGGACGGGCGGAGGAGGATGGCGGCTGCCCCCCTCCCTCCCTCCCTCCCCCCTCCTGTTTGTTATGAGAGGAATCATTTCTGCCGCCATCTCCAATCCATCCCGAAGCTTTCATTGTGTTTTACAGGTGGAGGAGGCGGAGTCACATGAAAAATGTCCTGCAGCGCGGTACATGAAGGTGTGAAATTGCAGACTCCTCTTTGCCCCCCCCCGGCCTCGAGCCTCAGAAGGTATTTCTTCTTTTATTGACAGAGCGTCTGCCGCTCGCCGACAGCCTCCTCCAGCCCTGATTGCTTTTGTTTCCAGGTCACCTCCTATCTATTGCTGCAACTTTTCCAATTTCTCCGGGCTTGTTGTATGAAGACAGACGGCGCCGTGTGGGGAACGTACATAAAGCTGCGGCGGGGAGGCGACACAAAGGAAAACACGGAGGAATCTTCTCTCCGTCATGCAATCGGGTCCCGTCAACGCCTCCTGATTCAACTTCATCAAAGCAATAATCAAATAAACGCTGTGCTTCATTAATAAGAAATTATCTCAGCATGAAGATTAATTACATTAAACTTATGAGAGTGTGTTTTTTTTTTGTACGACTCTGAGGTGGGAGATGATGGATGATGAGAGCGGCGTGATGAATGGAGAAAGCGGTGGAACTAAATTGAAAGTGTACTCATCCGTCCTGCGCGCACGACTAATGACAAATTGAGCGTGTCACGTTCAACAATGCACGCCGGAGCGACTGAAGGCAGCCCACAGGAAGCCGCTGCTGACGCGAAACCACGCAGGATTCATCCCCAAAACATCAACACAGCATCTTCATTTCCTCCGTTTGTAACGTCCACTCAGGTGGCGTGTGCTCACTGAAACACGGGGAGGAGTAACGCCGTCTACCCGTTTTTAAAGGACTCATGAATATGCACGACGCTGTTTGATAAAAATAATGGATGCATTCATGTTTCAGCCTAAAGGTGGAGCTCATTTTAATTACTTTAAAGCGTGTACATGCTCACTTATCTTATCTGAATCTGGAACCATCTTTAATAAAACATAATCCTTCATAATAAGTCGCCCCAGGGCCGCCTCATATTACAGGGAGGTGGCAAAGCCACAGGTCCCAAATATCTCGATCGTGTCGCTTGGTTTCACATCGCTGCGTTGAGTTTAAGTTTTTACCTCAAACATGTTTCAAGATTTAGAAGGTCCTAAGACTCTGACTAGACTCTTGTCCTCTGTCGCCCCCCGGTGGTGAAACGAAGTACCAAACTCCATTCGATCTGCAGAGTCCCTCTGCATCTTTAAGAAAAAGCTAAAGACCCAGCTCTTTCATGAATACCGACTAACTTAATGATGATGGCAGGGTTTTTCCTGCATAGAGAATTCTTTGGTGCCCCCCAAAGAGGTTTTACCCAGCGCAAAGGAAAATCACGAGCGCCAAAAGAAAAAAAAGACGATTCAAATTGCAAATCAAATCCTCTCTGAATGTATGTTAACACCTGTTGCTTTGTCGGCCATTTCCACGTCGTGCTTTTAACATCTTGCTTTCTGCGAGAATCCTCAGAACAAAACGCAATCAGAAGCACAATCCTTAAAAAATAATCTTTATATTTTTTCACCTTAAATCACCTCAAAACATTTTACCAGAACTTTTCCAGCTAACTGCATGCTAACAGTACGCTAACAGTATGCTGACAGTAACATAGCTGTATGCTAACTGTATGCTAAAAGTAAGCTGACAGTATGCTAACTGTATGCTAAAAGTAAGCTGACAGTATGCGAACTGTATGCAAACAGTATGCTAACAGTAAGCTGAAAGTATGCTAACAGTATGCTAACGGTTTGCTGACTGTATGCTGATGTGCTGAGTGTGTTGTGGTAGACGTTTCTATCAGGCAGAGTCAGAGAGTCTGATTTCAAATGTAGCCTGAGAGTGTTTGTTTACACTCGCTGGAAGGTTTTCTTCGTCTCTAACAGAAGTTCCTCTCGTTCTCCTTTTTCTCCGTGTAACATGATTAAATCGCCTCCTTTGCTTCCTCACTGATTGTTAACTTTCATTATTTTTCTGAATAACTTCCTGGAAACAGCGATGAGGATTGATTACCAGGGTATTTTTCTCTTTGCTGTGTTTAAAAAATCAAAAGGACTGACATGCAGCCAAAGTTACAGATGATCAAAGTGGTGTTAAAGAAGCGTCTGGCTCGTCTCCAGCTCTCAGCCTCCGCTCTGAATGATTTCACCATCTGTGAGATTACAGCAGCTGCTGATGAACACGACGAGCTCTATCAATCTGCAGCCGCCCGTTCAGATTACAATCCCACTGATATCTCTGCTTCAGACCCTCACTGTCCTCAAGTTTATATTTTTGATTTTACCACGTTACATTTCAGTTTACTGCACCCTGTATTTAATGTTCGTCTACTTTCAAACCCCCTCGCTAACCTGAAGGTTAAAGGCAAATATCATAAATCGATTATTATAATTAATATATTTTATCCATTTCTAATCATGCATACATAAGAGCTGCATCCAGGGTTCTTTTGCTCTAAACGTTGATGTGGTGATTTCATGGGGCCTTGGTAAGTTGTTCACACATTCACCTCACTTCAAGAATGATTTCCTGTCGGCGTGAGGAAGGGAAACAATTTAGACGTTAGTGTACAGGAGTTAGTCTGCAATTTCTGATGGATTCATTCCAAACCTACAAACCTTTATTAAGATGTTTATGTAACGCTCTGACTCATCATTAAAATAAAGGAGATTTTATCCTTTGAAGACGTGTGGTATCAAACATTTTGACGACCTTAATGTAAATCTGTTAATGACTCTTTTTTTATCTAAACATTTGTTGTTAAGGTGAAAAATATTAATATTTCTATTTTTATGCTCATGACAATCAAGTCACTAATGATGCAGCGAGCGAAGTCTTTGAAACACACATTGTGATATAAGCTCAATAAACAGGTGAAACATTTAAACATCTTTGCTCTGTCTGTTTTTTTCTCCTACTCTCTAAACTCGAGATGTTCAATCACAGGAACAACTTTCAAAGAAGATTACACATCTTGATTTTATTCCAAGTTCATATTTGGCAGGTCCATGCTGAGCGTCATCCATCACGGCCTACACTTTCTGATCAGCGTCTCTCGGGTGGGGGGGGGGGTTCATCTCTCCTCTCCCTCCAACCAAAGCAAACAGCAATGCCGGCGAGCAGCCCCCGTCTCCAATCTCATCGTGCTCGGCAGCAGTAGTGAAGAAATAAAGAAATAAAACATGAGCTCAGCGGAGCGGCACGCTCGGCAACTTCTCTGCAGAATGAATACTTTTTAATTTCTGTGCGGCGGATGGCCCCGGGCCCCCCGGACAATGTTGATGGATGATGTTTTAATGCTGCTGAATGTTATTTTTACTGAACAGGGAAAACTATAAATTTTGACTTCATTGGCCATGATTGTGCCTCGTGCATAAAGCGCGGCGGCTGAGCGGCGCCCGTGAATAATCGCCCCCCTCGCAGCAGATGTTCCTCCGCAGAAACCAATTCCTCGGATAAGATTTGCAGAAGATTAATTGTCTACAGCTGTTTCATGGCCCGCTGCAATCTTAATACATTTATGATAAGTTTAAAAGCTCAGCAGAGGCAGCGAGAGAAAGAGACGCTTTATTCTTACATCTGGATTCATATCGTCTGTCAGATTCATCATTAGCCTTTCTGCACGCTGCCGACGACCACGAGGCCGAGCCGTCATTAACGCTCACATGCAACAGTGTCTCGCTCCTCCTCCTCCTTTATCCTCCACATATTTTCATCTCCTCTCCTTCACTGACTGAATTATTCAGATTTGTGCAAATGACTTGTTTTCATTTTTCCTCGCAGGGAGTGGAAATTGAAAGTGACCCGGCGTGACCTCCGTCTATTACTCAAGCTAAATTGCAGTGAGTGTGCAGTGCGGCTCATTGTATCGCCGCCGCGCTTTGTTAACCGCCGAGCCGTGACCCTGCACACTCTGTAGCATCTGTACCACAGAGGAAGAATCGACGTGTTACGACCTGCACTCCTCGCCTTTATAACGCCCATTTAAATATTCTCAGCAGAACAAAAGCAATCATGTCGGGGGCCCCGGGGCCGGTCAGGGGCAGCGCTCTGCAGGACGCCACTTTAGGGTGAGTTTTTGAAGAACCATTTGGTGTTTAAAAGTTCCTGACACATGAAGGCTGTGAGGTTTTCATTTAACCCTTGCAGGCTCCCCCCCCCCCCCCCGCTCTGTGTGTGTGTTTTTCCATGGCAGCTCAGATCATTTAACGCTGCAGAGCTTTCTCTCTGCTTGATCGTCCACATTTATTATTTATTACAGGAATCATCTCGCTGATGGAAAGAATCAGAGGAGACTCTGCAGCTGCCTCCTCACGTCCGTCAGCAGTAAATAAACGTGTAATAAACGCTTTATAACTCGCCATGATGCAGCCGAGGAGGCTCGCCACCATGTTCAAACTTTAGTTTAAAATTCAAACCATACCGTTACCACGGCAACTAAAAGAAAAGCCCAATGCGCCCAACATTAGGGAGTCATCGAAGATAGCAGACAACCCAGAAACATCGGCAACGCTTCAATCTTCATGTGACATTCTTCAGAGGTGTGCAGGAGTTTGTCTGTAATCTTTGATGACCCATTCCTCTCCAGTCTCATGAAGATTTGATTCTTTTTGATTCTATCATTAAAATAAAAGAGATCATTTCATTTTAAAACTCATGGCATCGGGGCGCTGGTGGTGCAGTGGTTAGTGCGCGTGCGGCCCGCCTCCAAGCGACCTGTGGCTCAGAAAATGTAAAAGTGATGCAAACTGTAAAAATTATTACAAATGATAAAAGAAGGCAAATTAAACATATAAATCCAGATCTACAAAAATATGAAGAATATGATCCTTCAAAATAAAAGAAAATACCACACACATGCATGGCCTTGAAACGATGTTTTAAATATGAATTCATGTTTTTCTGTGAGTGTGACGCCCCTGTGCAGCTTCCGTTTGATCCTATTAGAATTATTTTAATTTAATTTTTGTTGCAGCGATGATGATCACAGAGCAGAGAGAAAATGAAGACATGAATTTAAAGATTAAAAAACGATGAACAGGATTACGGTCAATGTCGTCCTTCTTTGATTGTTTGACCTTACATTTCTCTAAATAAGTGTCAGTTCTTTTCTAATCCAGGAGGATTCAGTGGATTTTTTAAAGAGCTCAGGACGTAAAGATCATTCATATTATTAAATATTAAACATGGCTGAACGAGACATTGAAGGAGCACTTTGGAGATCTGGTGGTGAAATTTGAAAGTTGAAGAAGTAAAACAATTCTATGTTTCATTTTCTGAACTAAATACTCAAACTTTACTCAAAGAATAAAATGTCTCCCTGAACGCTGTTAGGAGATAAAAAGCGACCGTCGAGAGTTACGGCTTCACTGTTGCCGCCCCACCAGACTGTCTCGGTATCATTTTTTCTTCAAACAGTTACAGGGAGCACATGTTCCTCTGAGGACAGTTTGAGTTTAGAGTTATGAACATAAAACACAGAATCTGTACAATTCTCCATCAAACCTCCACAGTGCAGCTTTAAAAATAAGATAAAAGAAAAGACACACACACACACACACACACACACACACACACACAACACACACACGGACACACGGACACACACACACACACACACACACACACACACACACACACACACACACACACACACACACACAGTGACACACACACACACACAGTGATACAGACACACAGACACAGACACACACACACACACAGTGACACACACACACACAGTGATACAGACACACACACACACACACACACACACACAGTGACACACACACACACAGTGATACAGACACACAGACACACACACACACACACACACACACACACACACACACACACACAGTGACACACACACACACAGTGATACAGACACACAGACACAGACACACACACATACACAGACACACACACACACACACACACACACACACACACACACACACACAGTGACA